TTTTTTTTGAGAATTGGAGACAAGATGTGCCAGAGAGCTGGATTTATTAAATCTCAAGAAAAGACATGGATGGAATACAATCTATTGATAAAATTTAATAAGGTTGGCGGCATTCCATACTCGCGGAACGTCGCCACCGGTTGGAGTCTGCAATCTAAATGTCCCATCAGCCAACACCTCCTTTATGATATATGGCCCCTCGAAGCTTTTAGCCAACTTTCCTCCATCGGTCGGCCGGCTGACCTCCCTCTTCCGAAGGACCCAGTCGCCCATCTTGAACTGCCTTGGTCGCACCCGCTGGTCGTGATATGACTTGACCTGCCGGCGGTAGTTTTCTGCCCACATATATGCCCTTTCCCTTCGCTCATCAATGAGGTGCAGCTCCGCCCTCAGGTTCTCCTCATTTCCTTGAGCATCAAACATCTCTACTCTATAACTTAACAACGAGGTCTCCGCTGGAGCCCTTGCTTCAAATCCATATGTGAGCGAGAAAGGAGTTTCACTTGTTGCCTTCCTTGGGGTAGTTCTGTAGGTCCACAAAATATAGGGCACCTCTTCCACCCAGGCACTTTTGCATTCCATTATCTTCTTCTTGAGGCCATCCATGATGGTACGATTGGTGTTCTCTACCTGCCCATTGGTTTGTGGGTACCCGACCGCTGCATAGCTGTGTTTTATGCCCCAGCTCTGTAGAAACTCATTGAACCCTCCGGCCTCGAATTGGGTTCCGTTGTCAGTGATGATCTGCTGGGGAACCCCAAATCGGCACAAGATTTGCTTGGAAACGAACTTCGTCATCTGTTCCGCAGTGATGGTTGGCACGGGGGCGGCCTCGACCCACTTGGTGAAGTAGTCGATCGCGACCACCAGGTATGTGTTGTTCCCCGTCCCCCGAGGCAAAATACCGACCAGATCGATGCCCCACCGGGCAAAAGGAATCGCTGTGCTTATCGGGGTATAATTCGTCGCCGGTCGCCCTGGCATCCTCTGGAATTCCTGGCAAACCTTGCATTTGCGCACGTACTCTGCGCAATCTCTTATAATCGTTGGCCAAAAGTATCCTTGTAGGGTCACCTTCCTGGACATCGTGAAGGCTCCCTGATGTGCTGAACATATTCCCTCATGGATTTCCTCCATTAACTTTTGTGCCTCGCCCGTTCTTAAGCACCTCAACAATGTACCATTGTACGATCGCTTATACAGCCGACCGCACTCCAGCGTGTAGCTGGGTGCACGTCGCTTCACCACCTTTGCCGCGATTGGGTCGATAGGTAGCGACCCGTCAAGGATGTACATGGTAATCTCATCAATCCAATCCGGCTTCTCTCTGAGTGTGATGATCAGCACTTGTCCGGGACTGATGCTTGGCTCGAGCAACTCTTCTTCCTGGGTCATTGCCTTAATATGATCCGGGGAATCCGGACCAAGCTTTGACAAGATATCTGCCTCAGCGTTCTCTTCCCGAGGAACCTGCTCTATCTGGTACGCCCCGAAGGCTTTAAGCAACTCCAGGACAGTGTCTCTATACTTCCTCATTCGTTCATCCTTGGCCTCAAATTCTCCAGTGACGTGGCCTACCACTAGCTTGGAATCGCACCGGACTTGGATTCGCTCAGCTTTCAATGAGGCTGCCCCTCGGGTTCTTCTCCGCTAGATTCTACCTCCCTCGCAGTGCATTCTACCACGAAATCTGCTAATGCCTGCCCCTTTATCGCCGGTCGCGGCTTGAACTCTATTTGAAAGGATCCCAGGAACACTCCCCACTTGCTGACCC